AAGCTGAGGCTGTAGCTGAAATCACAATGTTAACTTTTATTCGCTGCCGATATCGTTGTTCTCCATGTTCAATCAACGTCGATGCACACGTGTGAGGAAAAATCAAAGTCTATAGTCAAAGAACCATAGAGTTCGATTTGTTTACCTTCACACCATGGGTTTTTCATGAACTAGGTCTTCGTCCTATTTGTTTCTAGTTCAATCTTTTTCTCGATTCTTTGACTTCATCGGGCATCGCCTCTGCTTCATCAGTACTCTTCGAAGATATGACGATGCCATCCACGAAACAAGGAATTGTTAGGAATATTTCATCAATACGTATGCCCTTCTCGTTCCAATCGAGCGACTTCATTTCCTGGCGATGCCGCAGCAAACAGATTTGACGATATGATGTCGCTTTGCCGAACCCCTCTCCCTATAAGAATGGTAAGAGGTGAATGGAAATGATGTGTTTCCGTGGTGCAGTTCCAATAACAGTGTAATACATATTCTTCCAATATTTTTTCCCCATATTTTTCCTCCATATGGTCGCAGTGGTCAGAGGCGCCCTGCAACACACACGAGGAGTCCATCCCAGCGCCCAGGGTCCACTAAGCCATTTATCCCATTAGGAGTCGGCAAATTGGTACCGGACTTTTCTGGGAGGATAGCAGGACTGGCCCGATACATCACCAGGACACCGCGAGTCATTGTAAAGGCCAGATATGCATTCAATCACCTTCAAACGATGCTTAATGAAGTCGAGTGCATGGCGCATCCCTCAGGAATTGATCGACGCCGAGAGCTTTGTCATTTTATCCTTATTGAATGATTCAACTTCATTAAGCAATGACTTAAGTCACGAAAAAAAGCGGTGTGTTTCGAGAAGCTGTTGATCATGTAATTACCAAACAGTTTTTCGTCTTTTTGTAAGTGTTATTGAAGTGTTTGGCCTAGTAGATTGTATATCAGTATACCCTTCCAGGCTCTGAAGAAGGCGATACTGCCGAAACGTCAGCTAGTGTTGTATTGTATTGTGTTTTTCTATGGAAGTAAATGTATGCTGTTTAAAAACCTCGCGATTGCTGAACAAGAAAACAACGCATTGATATTCCAATGCCGAGGTTAATAGAAAGTCGATCCTGGAAACTGTAAAGAATTGTATTAGGCAGCAAACAAAAAGTTAGCATTGGTAATAGCCTCGTGTTAACTTATCAATGAAACAAGGTACTTACTTGAATACTTGGACGGTCCGCCGTTCAGCATAACTTCCATCTTTTCCGAATTTTGCTTGTTTAGCCATTGTGGCTCCCTGAAGTCCCGAGGTCAGCCCAGCCAAAGTCTGACACAGGTCACCACCACAGGCAGTCACCGCCCTTGTGGATTAGAGAGAAATTTGCCACCGTGCGACTACTCTGGGATCAGGACGGTGGTAGATCCTGGTATTGGTTTACTCTTAGCTAGGCTTCCTGATGAAACGCCGGACTCCTTTGCCTGGGAGATCCTGTTGGAAACGTGAATCTGTCGTTGCAGATCGCAGCCCGACACCCGGAAACACCACTCAGCCATAATGAGGAGGTAAACCGTTGGGAGGAAACAAGGTACGTTGATCATTTATATTGAATGAAAGCCGGTTTACAATGATATTGTTACGCTGTGTGTTAGCTAATAATAATGACACCGGCTTCTGCAGGATTGATTGTCGGGAAAAACAGATTATTATCACCGGACAGCCACTATTATCAGTAATAACATTCCTGTATGGAAGAGCATCTCCGGCTGAGTATGTCTCATTCGAGAGATATTCGACTAAAGCGGATCCGGTTCGATACGAAGATGAAGACGCCATATCAAGAAGACGAACAACTGTGGATCATCGACTCGGATCATCGGCTCTGATGAAGACAAAGACGTCGAAACATTAGACCAATAAATAGTGGTAACAACCTCGTGTTGTCGTTCCTGTCGTTCTTGTCTTGTCGTTTCTCTTGAAGCTTAAAACTACTGACAGTCAAAAACTAAGTTGTATGAGTGTGACTGTACCCTAATAAATCCTATAATAACAATCTTGTGTCTGCTTATTGAAGAAAAACATCGAATTATTAACCAATGCCGCGGTTAAAAGAAAGCCGGTCATGGGAAAAACTAAGTTATTGACCTGAAAGAAAGCAAGCAACAAATGGAAGGATAGACAATAAAGTTGAGGGGTACAACTTAGTGAGATGGCGATCAATAAATCAACACAATAAATAGATCGAACCTATGCTCCGAAGGACCGAAGGAGTGTGTGTGGTATTTGAAAGAATTAGAAGTCAGCGTTAAAATAGTTAGGTACTACAACAACGAAAGGAAAAGAAGTACTATCCAGAAGATCTTAAGCAATTTCTCCGTTGATGTGGAAGCCGAACTGTGCAAATGAGATAGTGGTCGATAACGAATGTGGTATCGGTAGAATAGAGTACTAGGTTCTTTCGAGAATCAATGCTTAATATAATTTCAAAACAGACTAAACGGCGAAATCGTCATGATTTTTCACAGTTGAAGACAACTTGAGAAATCAGACAGAGTTAACACTAGGAACTGAAGATCAGATGGGCTGTGGTCGAAAATGGAGTTTGAAAATTCGGTCCTACTGTGGATAACACCAGCAGTATTTGCGTGTTGAGCGCTGTCTTAGAACGCAGCTAGATTTCGTTTTCTGCCTGACGTTATTTGCTCAGTGACAACGACGCAGCTAAAACCAAATACCTGTTCCAACGGCTGCGAGCCTTTCAAATAGTAGTAACACACTCCAGTTTCTTAGATGATCATGAGGCATCCAGAAAGATAAAAATCCGGACAATATTCTTAAATACTTGGTACGCCTCAGGTGTATTCGACCTCGCAAGTGTTCTATTTAGAATGAATATGTGTAAAACAGTGGTACTGTAAGTGTTGTTTGATGAAGAAGAAAAGCTGAAAAATAGTGAAATCAGAGCGATTACGAGAGAACCACAATAACAATGAGCAATTCTACACAGAACGTGACAATTCGATTGTCGGTGAGAGAGTTTGCGCAAGCAATTCGGATTGGCGAAGCTTGTTCGCCTTGGACAAACGGCCACGACGATCGGCTATCCGAAGCGAAGCGTCCTATCGATAGTGGCAATAGCCTGCATCGTCAGCGAGGTAGAATTGATAACACGGTTGAAAATCGCCGTTAAAAGTCGTGATTTCGTACGAAACTACAGCCATGTACGAAATAAGATGTACAAAAGTATAACCAGTTTCTCTATGGGATTTGTTACGCTTCGACGAAGTCGCCTAATACTGGCAGTGTGGGCATCTGAAGTTGACGGTAATGTATTTGGCGAATTCCCTGTCAGGTTGAAAAGTGGAGTGCTCCTCACTATTTTCACTGTTCTGAAATCTTCTGGGAAATGATGGTCACGATGGCAATATTAACCTAATCAGCATTGATTTCAATGGTAAAATAGCCATCATGGGTAGCACGCTGCAATTTCAATGCATTTGGTTTGCCACTTTTCCTTCTATGGCAGAGGCTTCTTTGCTGTTTGTTTTGCTTTTCTTTTATAGAACACTTTACAAAACACTGTGTTAACCGTAGTTTACATGGTGGACAATCTTCCCTCATCATACACAAAATTCAGATATGTTACGAAAACATGGAAAGATACACAGGAGATCAAAAGCAAACCGAACTTAAGAAGCGACAGAAATGGAAAAAAATAGGCAGATAAAGCGAATGATAGAGCAAGAAGTACAACAATCGGAAGAGATCACTTTTTTGGGAAGAGGGACAGCATGGACGGAGCGCATTGCTTTCAATACGTGTGACCAGTGGTAAACGTCGTCTCATGCGTTCTTCGTCCAAAATTAGGCGTCGTAGTGAATGTGCTAATAAGACATCCATTGTTAAGAAAAATACCAACGACAAGTGATTGCTTAACAATTAACAGATACCTCTTAACACCTGCATCATTCAATAAACTAGCCATAGTGCTCAAGCCCCTTGATGTTGTTTTCTGCCACCAGTTTTACCCACGGGATTAAAAAACCATTAATATACATATATTGGAAAAGAAAGATTTCATTTAAGATTGCCAACACAGTCATGTGGAACAACGTTCTTCTTAAGTGATCATGATAATCAGAGTGACAATTTCCATTTCATAGCAGCGAGACTAAGTACGTACACTTGCTTGCACCGGTCTTCGTATAGATACTACACCTGCATCACCCATCCCAGAACAACTTCGTGTGGTTGATTCCTATATAGAGACTTTTACGACATGTTAGAGCGTCATGCTCAAACAGTATCATGATTGTATGACATCAACCGAAACAGCAAACAGAGAAATACTCCTCAGTTACAAGTCCTCCATAAAAGGTCGTGAAACTTCTGTCATGAAGAACACGTTGATAGAAGACCTTGCGTAAAACATGAAGCTTTCCCCTGAACTTGTTTTTCCCTCGTTACTGACATATTCTGCTCCTGTTTTGTAATGGAATTCATTTATGGGATGTTCATTCAACTGGAATGATATCTTTTCCCAAATGTTGTGCGTACTCAAAGATTTCCTCCAATCGTTCCGTTGCCGTCATCGACGGAACGAAACGGATTCATGTGTGCGTTCAGTTACAAAATGAGAGTCTTTGGTCTCCTCACTTCAAGAACCTATTCGATGCATGTTCAAAGTGGTTCTTCCTTTTTGACCGAAATAGCTGTGTTAGGCCGGTGCTATGCCTTTACCACAGTCAGTCGTTAGCCTCTGTGGACTGAAAGGGAAACCTGCTCTATCAAGAACACCAACGAATTTTACGAGTAGTCTAGCTGCCGATCGATGACGACGCAACAAACGGATTTCATATTTATGGTATTCTGCTGGTAAATCAAGCAATCATAGAATAGTTTTCAAACTGACTATCATTAAGCCCCGGCCAAAATAATCAATGCCTTCTAATTATTAAGCCGACACGAAGCTCATAAAAAGATTTATTCGGCCGACGCTTCTACGTCTTCACCGTCCACAGAGCCGAATTGGTCCGAATCGATGATCCAGAAGTGGTCGTTCTCGCGATATGGGTGTTCCTGGTCGCATCAAGTAGAATCCAACGAAGCGGAGTATCGATCGAATGAACAGTCTCACTCGACGATGCCCTCCTAAGGCTGTTGAATGACTCCTGCCTCCAATATGATCTACTTTGTATAAAAGGACACCGCTGAGTAAAGCTCCTGATTCGAGCGGTGTTCTCTCCACTGGATTCGACTCGATGCAACAACGAACACCCACATTGCGAGGACGACCACCTGTGGGTCGTCGATTCGGATCAATTCGGCTCTAAAGACGAAGATGTCGAAACTCTAACCGAATAAAAGCTTCTATCGGCCTTGTGTTTGCTTAATAATCGAAGAATGAAGTCATAGAATAATTCGAAAGGCTACCATAGTCCGCCCATGGAATCAAACGAAGTAAGCACCGCTATGCAGAGGTGCCCTGAAAACAATGGTCTGGAGAGTTCTATGGCAATTATAGAAAATCCACCTAGCAATTTACATCATCAGTCGGTTGGGAGCCGGCTGTATAACCGTCTGTGTAAAACAGAGGATTTCTTGATTTACCCTAACGGCACAGACAGATACCGCAGGAGGTCAGACACAATATTCGTATTGTTGTAAGACAACTTGTGATGAATACATTGGCGTAACGGGTACAGCATTGTGCGTCCACATGAGAAAACAGTTAGATGGGATTTCGAAAACTCGAATAAGTATTGCTCTACATGTACGGGACTAAGGCACAATAACGATTATGAGGTGGTGTATTCACAACCCCGAGGCAGGAATCAAAAACATAGGGAACAAAACCCTTGAGGCTTTTGGATTAATTTCAAAAATCTAAGAATGAATAGGAAGGAAGAATGTCTGACTATCACATGAGACATAGCGCCCTATCTCAGATTGATTTTCTGACCGGAGTAAGATTCAGTACTTACAGTGTATGAACAACACACTGATGATCCTACTCCACCTAAAAGTTAAGTGGTACGCTTTCCTCAGTAGGTAGACTTCTGGATCTGTTTTTGAGTAAGATTTTCACTGGAAATGGGTATTATCGACTCAATAATGAAATATGGTGTGGCATAATACGTTTAGACTTTGAGGGAGGCGAAATTCCCAGAATACACATCGCGAAGAAATACCGATCTCGCGCTAGCTTCAACAAGGACAGTTCATGAGATATTATTGATTAACCATAGAACAATACCTCCTTTGTAAAAAAATATCCAAGTTATTAAAAAGCGGAAACAATTCCTATAGGCGTTGCCAAATTCACCAGAAGATAAAATCACTGCTTCAGTAAATATTATTACTATCAATATAAGACCACAATTTACTGACTTCACCTATAGGTGGAACTGCTTCCATTGTTAAGACACGTGCTGTCAACGATTGAGGTAGAGTGAAACAAATACTGAAACAGTTTATTGATCTTTCGAATACTGTCCATTAAAAATACTCCCACAACGTTCTAGAAGACAAGATATTGGGCATGGGGAGAGATCATCAACGTAAAAAAAACAAAGCAGTATAAAAATAACTTCCTTAGGTTTATCACTGCCCGGATAACAAGGAGCTTAGACAAACGAAAATATCAAGGTACCGCACCGATTTTGAACATCTACAAGATAAGAAATTGAAAAGAGCTGTTCCATCTAGTTTACGGATCTCAGCGTTGCCTCATGTGATGGCCCGAATGCGAGCAGATTGTACATTAGAATGCACGAAAATTTAAGGGTAATAAAGAGCAAACTAAGATTCAACTCTCATAAAATTCGAACGGGAATTAGCTATTCACACCAAAGCCAAGAATGGGAACTCGACGCTGCTCCACTTTTACGCAAACACACATGTCACTGAGATTGGCACACCCACTACGATAACCACCTGTCAACGTACCAATAACCATAGTTGAAAAATGGTTGCGATCTTCAAATCGGAAAAAAAAACTAAAAACAGGAATTAGACAGACCCTAGAGAGCTTAGAGAAAACGATGGGATCAATATCACTTAGAAGTACATAGCGATGGTATGAAAAATCCTATGCATGACTTAAATAGAGGAGAAACGAATGAATGAGGAGAGAACAGAGCACGTGACATCCAAAATTAAAAAACGACAGGAGGTAAAACACGACGCAGTTCTTCGGAAAAACAGGACAAGCATGCAGCTGAATTACTTTGGTAAACTTCCGTGAAGTTGTGAATTCTAAAAAATGAACTGATAGAGCAAAAAAAAAGTTTACAGCCAAGAAAAAAAAACAAAGAAACGCACAATCTCACTGTCGGCTTTCCATAAGGCAACAATTTACTTCTCAATGATCAATTTCGAGTTTATATGGAAAAAGTCAATAGACTGTGGGCCGCTTCCAGGATCAATGTCATAAAAGATTTAAACACAAAATTTTCGTCACTCACTAAAACAGCACAACTTTTTTCTTCGGCTTCCTTTCGATCTCCTTCGTTGAAGTTTCCTCTTCCGGAACGTAGTCCTCATCAGCTGACGACATCATAGACATCGTTCGAACGGTTACATCTAATAGTGGATCATAGTAAAGTGAACATTTCTAAGACTTCGTGATGGTCCTATTGTCCAATGAAAAACACTTTGAAGAGTTCAAGACCAACCATATGCTATTTTAAAACTGCGTTTCAACCTAATATCACGTCACTTAACAGGAATAGCAACTAACCAGCAAAAACAAAAATTAAACACTTTGTCAAATAATCCAGCACATAAAAACAGGTGTGGTTTGGTGCTAAATGACTTAGTATATTTCTTCTCGATTACCGTATCACTGTGCACGTTAGATCTACACCAATATACACCTTGTGAGAGCGTTTAAAGAAAAGCAATAAAATCGTGCGCCCAACTGCTGTGATGTTATCACTTCCCGATGACCTCGACCGCATGATTAGTAGTGACCAATAATACGACCTTATGTACCGAGGACACCATTGTCGAAGTACAGAGGAATGCAGTATTTACGAGCGACGATTTACATCATAAACCCTATTAGTACAATGAAAATCGAAGATATTCAACTTAAAAGTTGAGATCATCGCGGAAATATGAGCGACACAGAGGAAAGATAGGGAGTAACGTCGTATTAGCGCCAATCTCGCATAGCCGTAACTCCACCCAGATACATTAGATACATTATAGGGCATGTAGCTATGAAAAGTTGGATTTTGAAAAATATCCACCTTCGGCCGTTTACAAGTGGAGCGTTTCCTATACAATCTGCATTTATGGATTGCCTAAAGGATTGTTATGTCGCATCTGAGCTGTCGGTCGACTTCCCATTTCTAATTTCTTTCCATTCCCATATTGTGCCTAGCGATTCGAGTTAAGCGGGTGGAGTATAACCGTATGGATCGTTGCTACTATAGATCTCTTAGCGATCGGCAGAAGATACAAAAGTTTCTTCTTTGTTCAACTTCTTTGGTATTGTTTGCGTTTACGTAACGCAACTATATAGACGTTCGTCCAATATGTACATGCATTCTGCACATTCCATATAAGATAACATACACGTCAGTACCGCAGGCGTAACATAAAAAATGTGCTTTGCAGTCGACATTTTACTATTCGAACAAAGAAAGTGATACAAGGTGTCGTCGCCTCATCAAAACTGTTCAAAGGTACAGTCCATGATGAAATCTTTCAGTCGGAATAAAAAGGCCATATTTTAATAATATGGACTTCCTATCTAATCATCGTTCTCGAGACACTGTCATCTTTTCAAGAAGTATCTGTGGGGCAAAGACAACAGTCGACTAACTGAATGCTGCGAGAAAAAGGACCGAACTGCAGAAAAAAAACACGAAGACCTGGTTCGTGAAAAACTCATGTGCGATGCGAAAAAAATGAGATTTTACAGACAAGGAATTTTTTATACACGATCCGATATTATATAGCATACTGTGCGGATCCCGGCACCTCTTGCATTCGACTTGCTTCTTTGCATTCATCATCCAGTAATTTCTTGAACATTATGTGTGCACGTCTTCTTGCGACTTGACATTTTCGACGTTGTCATAAACGGCGTTGAATGCTGGCCTGGTAGACATAAAACGCACTGCTGAGGTGTAGCCATGCTAGTGCATCAACACGTGGGTTAGATGAGTGAGCAGGTCCCAGGCAAGTCCAGTAGCAACTACCCATCCCCGGAGCAGAGCGGTAAACTTGCCAAGCCCGAGGCGGCTCTGAACCACCGTTTGGATAGGTTAATCCTTCCGGATAATTAACGGCACCGTTACCACTGCGCTATGCACTCTCCTATAAAGAAGGGTTCAGAAGTAAGCGTCTCTTAATTTCGGAAGCTCTTTGGTTCTACATGATAGATGACCACAAGTTGCCTTTGGGTTGAGAACAAGTTGCTTAGAACAGGTGCGTAGACCTTTTACCAGCACGTCACAATCATCTAATGGTTCATGGGTCAACAACCATTTATTAAAGGAGTTTCTAATAACGAACCGTCGTCTTGTTCTCCTTTAGCACATTTATTGCATTCCTCCCAAACATTGTGCTTTAAACCCATCCTCACGCGAAAGTGGTGGCCTGATTCATTGCAAAATCCACGAAACACCGATAATCAATCAACTGCGGGCGGACGGATGATGCTTTGCAGATTCTTACGTTCAGTGGTTTTCCGTACGGAAACACGATTGAAGGAATTCCTGAAAGAAACGACCCAAGCAGGGTAGTCCAACAAAGTGAAATCCATTTCTACTGGTTGTCCTAATACAAATTTGTTTATTCTGTATTTCTGCTGTTGTTGCATTGTTCCTATTCTAGCATTGAAGCTCCTCTTAATAGACTCCTCACGAAGGAATTATTCGAGATCTTCGTAAGCACCAATCTCCATGTCATTATTAGCTAATGACGTTGTTGAATTAGTGAAACAAACTGAGTCAACTTATAACGTTGAGCTGAAGCCGCTGTTCTCACCGTTTTCAGCAAAGCGATGCGCCCGGTATTACCGAAATCATACGAGAGTCCTATATAAAGACGCGTGACGACTGCAACGGTCAGTGTACAACGATCATGTAGCTTTTCATAACCTAGTCATCAGTAGAATTATGAAAGAACTATGAGAGAACAACATAGTTACCTTTGTTTCATAGACGACATTGGCATCTTTTCGAAAAAATACTGCAAAGGTAGGGATAATGCTTGTCAAGCGATACTAAAATGCAAACTTTAGAGTAAACCTGATGTGAAAAACAGAATAATTCGGATGAAACACCGAATAAGGCGACCAGATTCTATTTATAGAACAAGTAAGACAAGCTGCGAACAACATACAGAGACGAAGAACTAATTCACTCAACACAAACCCAGATTTTGTGGCCTATAAAAGAATATTGCATCTTCGAAACTCAGCGGAATAACTTTCAAGAAGAAAATCGATGGTAGAGTGACGTAATGAGGAAAGGTTAAATAGAACAATTTAGAGTATTCAGACAACTAAAACTACTTTGTTGGATACCGGCAAAACGATGAGCTGGTATATTTGTTGAGGGTATAAACCAGCATTCCTCCCAACGGTTTACCGTTTCATCGTAGACACCATAGATGTCCCTGGATGTCGGGCTGCGATGTGCAACAGCTGGATTCATCTGCCCAACAAGGTATCCCACACTCATAAGTCCGGCGTTTCTATCAGGAAACTCAGCTAAGAGTAAAGCAGTACCAGGTCCACCACTGTCCTGGTATCAAACTGTTGACATGGTGGGAGATTTGCTTCTGATGCACAAGGGCCGCGACTGCCTGTGGTGGTGACGACTCGAGACAAAATTCAGTCAGGCTGACCTCGGAACTCCAGGGAATCACAATAGCTTAATCGGTAAATCTCCGAAAAATGGAAATTATACTGGGGCCCGCACATCCAGTGAATATGGGTCTGTATCCAAGTAAGTATTATACAGGCCACCATTATTCGGTTATTCACAGCTGCAATCAATTTTAGCACATTCTTCAAATTCCAATGAAACTTACACGCCACAGTGAATAACGGTTAGAGAAAAATGAACTAAATTTAGGAAGTATTGCACTAGGCATGTGAAAACTGGCCGTCTAATTACCCAAATAAACGCTTAATCTCTGATGAATAAAGCCACTTTATTGACGTTGTAAGAAGGAGTGTCAAATTTTAAGTCATTCGTAATATTACCCATTGATATCTGATCTGTCAACGTCTGATTATGTTTTTAAAAATTATACTCGTAACACACTAGCGACATAGATTCTGTAAGAAAAAATTGAAATTAGGAAGCACTACTTACTGCAGTGATCTTTCTTCTGCTTGCGAGCAGCAAGTTCAGGACAGTCACGTTTAAGATGCTTTGTCGAACTACATACATTGCAGCAGCCACCTATCAAAGAGTGATAATGGCCCAACAATAATACTTCCACAAAAAAACCACTGCAAACCATCAGGATAGATCCCGTTAGAATTTTTCTCACAGTCCCTCGATAAATGGCCCTGTTGTCCACAAACAAAGCATGAGGCGAAAGGAAAACCTAAAAGTAAACAATTCTTAACAAAGATAGGAAGTGTAACCATAGTTTGCTCTAATGAAGTCTTTTTTCGGCATTACAGCAACTTATTTAACCTCACGTAGAAATTTTTCCAGAGCTTTTAGACATAGATAAAAAAGCCAAAAGCTTTGAGCCTTGGGTACTGGGATCGATCCCATGTGTATTACAAGGCGCCTCCGACCACTGCACCACACCCGCTCTCTAAACATAGATTGAGTGCGATAATCATTGACCATACTTAAATAATGCTTGTACTTTTATTTGGTCATGTTCCTCGTCAAAGCTAATCAAATCGCAAATTATAGCACAAAAACGTCTACAAACGACGAAAACCAGAACAAGGGAAAAATACGAGCTCAAAGGCATCTTACTTCCAATCACTAAAGGAAACAATTACACCAATATTCGACAAACGGAAAACACACTCCACAAGCAGTAAGTTCAGTATAGCAGTGATATACCAATTTTCTCACATGTACCTTTACTAGACTCAAAATTTGTCGACGACAGAAGGCGACATAGCCTATGACACTACTTAACAAAATCATATTTAAACTTAACGCGCTTGTCGATTTCGCCCTAACATGGGTATGGCCGTCAGAAAAATTTCAAATTCATCCCAGTGGTTCACTGCCTCACCATGAGTTTCGGGTGGTGACATGTCGAAGGGTCTATGATATAGGAGGGTCTACTCAAGTTGAGAACAAATTTGACATTTCCACTTGAGCCCAAATAAGTGCACGTTGTCAAGTAGCAATGCATTCTCTGTAAGAACACAGTCAACTAAATGGTGATGAGTTGGAAAAGCACTGGTACGGCCTTCAATATTCCAGAAGAACAAAATAATGCAAATCAGTGGGTGTAAAATTCTGCAGCTGAAAATGTTTTTCATGATGCGAACTAATCAAGCAAAAATATGTAAAAGTTCAAATTATTTACTGAGAAACATTCTGCATCCTTGAGAGGGACGAGATTAGTCCATTATAATGGCGAGAATGGTCGTGTAAAACGTAATTGTTCCTTCATGCAGTGCTCAGCGCTACCTGATTCAGCTCAATGCAAGGACTGCAAACCTACACTGGAAGGAACAAGATGTAACACACAAATGAAATCCTTGCGGCTCTGAAGGAGTGGCGCCGAAACGGTAGCCAAGATAAAAAAAATAGAGAAAGAAAAACTGATCTCAAATTGAAAAAACCCCCAGTATCAAATTATTGCACGCTTTAAAAATTACATTGTGAAAAAAATTCAAATATAAAATAGACAGCGCTTGGATGTTTTTTAAAACTCGCACTCAATATTCTAAAACAATCTATGGCCCACCTTTAACGTGTTTTCGCGGGCACGTGCGCACACTATGCTCAGTGGAGCCGCATTTGAAGCAGATGCCATCATAGCAAGTAGATGAAACGTTCCCGATGGTCGGTTCAAAATCCTCTCGATTTGGACAATCAGCCAATACGTGGCTTAGTTGTCGACAATTAAAACACGCCCTATTTCTGAAATACCGGAGATATCACCTGTACCATTTGCATCCCCTTTAATGGTGCAGCATCACTGCTGAACGAACATGAAAAATATAATATTCTGTTGTTGTTTTCTGCTATATGTCGAATTACGACACCGAAAAAACCTGGCCACAATGAGACGGTAAATCATCGGTAGGACTGAATACATAAGAATCAGAATCAGTTATAATCAGAGCCACTACAGTATTCCCTTTCACCCATTAGCTTTGAACTCTTTCTTATCTGCAAGATTTTACGCTTTCTCCTATTTTGCACCACGTTACAAGGGTCCTCACAAAGTGGATTTTTCACAGTGACCTAAGGGATTCTAAAAAAAAAAGTCGACTCCAATGGATGGATAGCAATACTACCACATGGGTTCATGCTTTTCCTTTGCTCATTTGAACGAGTAATATCCATTCTATTTTCCCTTATTTTGAGGTTTCCAACTCTAAACTGTAATTTCACCATCTCTATTTGCGTTGCAAAATGTTGCGAGGAGAAACGATTTGTAGAAGAAAATGCACTTCGGTCAGCAGTAACCAAAGATCGGATCTAGTGAACAGACTAACAATGCTTGACCCACGTCTGCTTAGTGATTTGCCGCTTAACGCGACGCCTTTCAGTATTCTTCCATCGCCTGATGATGTCACCTGCATCTCTTTTCTTGACCTTCCGCCTGCGCACCAAATCATGAACAATGCGCTGAAACGATAATAACTACTAATGATTAGAATACGAGACGAGGACATCAAATCCTTAATGAGCGCTAAAGGTCCCATTATAAAAGTTCATATAAGGTTGCCATTTCGTCAGACCTACGTTCACCGCAGTGTTAGTGATGCCTATTTCTGTCATGTGCAAGACGTTGGTCCAAGCCCTACCAGACCCACCTGCCCGCTCAGGTTTCGGAAATCCCTTCAGCTAAGCACCTGAAATCTATTTGTGAAGGCCGAAGCACGATTAACTAACTATTCGAGGGAGAATCGACTAGATCAGCATTAAACGACATTCAGAGTACAAAAATCCCTGAATAACAGCCGATCCCGCAAAGTATGACACTTTTCGGAGTTTTTTCCCTACTCACTTATACGATAAGAAGTTACGAGGAGGAAATTTAATAAAAACATTTTGGTTACCATCGTAATAATCGAACTTCACGTCGAGCAGGTCATCCAGGAGTGCACAGAACAATTGAAACGTTGAAGAGTTGCAGGTGCTGTACGATGAACGGTGCATAGTAGCCGAGCTCAATTCTAATTCTTTATGAACCAATTTCCCGACGTTAGGCTGGACGCTATTATGCAAAAGTCAGATTCTAAGCAGATTCGTAGCTTTTCCACCACGATAACGGAAAAGCTACTTAGTTACTGTTTGCGATGACCTACTGGCTCGTTGGCGATATTAGCAGAGCAGAATGAGTTCTCAAAATTGAGTGGATCGAAGATCTGATCTGATGAGTTTATGGTAGTATCATAGTCACACCATACACTTCTCTCGCCAAAGTGCATAAGTTGGGAATGTGTTAAACATTCGCTTGCGGTACCGGGCCTAAACCATTTGATCATCTGTCATCAGTAATGTAGAGGAAAAAATGGTCATAAAGCACGGCGGCTCAATTTGTAAACCATCCATTTCGACTTGATTTGACTATCCCTACTGTAGCCATGTACTTCTGCACCCTTGGCAGCGCAATGGTTAGTTATGGCATCCATCAGCAGGCAAAATGCTGATTCGACCTCGTCCTCAACGTCCTCCTCCAACCTACGCGATTACACCTTAGCTGTGCTATTTCTAAGACTGCGAGAGGAATCAATTTGAGCAGCATTCCACGACATTCATAAAGAAGATGAAGTCCTCAAGAAGCAGCCGAACCAAGTAACGAAATGTTCGAAGCCCTCTGTGGAATGATAGGAAAACGGATCGAACGCAAGAATTATTGGGACTCAGGCAGTAGATAAGACGTCGTTACATCGAAGTTACGTGAAAAAAAAAAAACAAAAACGTAAGTGATTTCCACACAACTAAACCTAATGAAAGATGAATGAGAGTGAAAGAATAGAGGAGAACCAAATCTGTGAGCACGAAAACATACGAATGACAAGATACAGGATGTCTTAGATCAAATGAAGGGATAAAACTTTGGGCGTTGAACAATCCATGAGGGATGCGTCATGTATTCCACTTCACTTATCATCGTTGCAGGTGATTGAATGCATACTCTGGCCTTCAGAATGATTCACGGTGGCCTACCGATGTATCGAGCCAGTGCTGCTATTCTCCCAGAGGAATCTGGTAACAATTTCCCGATACTAGAGAAATGAACAGCTTGGTGAGCTTTGGGCGCGGGGATCGATCCCATGTGTATTGCAGAGCGCCTCCGACCACTGCGCTGCACGCGCCCTAGACCAATTATTAGAAAGACTTAACGTTTGGACCACCTTAAATTTGAAACACACCTAACTGCGACATCCGTTTCGACACCACTCGTTTCAGCCGCAAAAACAACACTCCGGCACAACTCAACAACTATAAAACAAGACTCATAATGGTCTTAATTGGTCGAAAAGAAATGACGTCCACTAGAAATCCTTTGGCATAAAGACTCCGGATGAATTACTATGATTCAGGGTAAATTTCCATTCTAAAACGCTGACGGAGATGGACACTTATACAAAAATAGGGATATAGTGGGTAAAACAGAGACCACTAAAATAGGAAAATATTATGAAAGTTAAATAATGTGTAGAAGGTTGATACAGCCATATTCACACATCACTCACATCCAACATGGGGAAAATCTCTTCGTGTCTGTCGAAAAGTGGAATCAACTTAGCAGATACATTCAAGAAAGGAGTTAACCTCGCATAGTGGTGGTTTTACTTCTAATACACCTACTTCTTAACACAGGCTAGCTACTTTGATCCGTTATAGACATAACCAGTTACCTTCACATCCTCAAGTGTTCCTTCCATGTTGACGAGCTTTTCTCTACACGTCTGGTAGGCCTAAAATATCTATTGAAATACGACGTTGAAAAAGCAAAATTTAGAACCTTCACCGAACCATTTCGCGTTTCCGCCGACGCCATTTCTGCATAATCACAGAGATAACGCTTTCCTCAATATTCCCAGACTCCACTTCTTGAGAAAGACGTTCCCGAACCTTTAAACAATTCTCTCGAGCACAGGCACTGAACACAAAACTCAGAAAAAAAAGCAAAGAAAACAATCTGGAATCAATACGATTCAAAGAGGACTTATACTTGACCTTCACATGAACGGGTAATGCTACTGGGTAAAACAGTTATCTAATGCTAACTATAGGGACTTCAAAAAAGGAAAGAAATACGGATACCTATAAATACTAATAGCTACAACCGAAACTTCCTCGTCGTTACAAAGTATACCATTCTACAATTAATCAAAAGAACGAAAACAGTAATAGAAAAACATTCAAGATCACCTCTGATGCATTCTGACAAAAAGCCAGTTTCTCAAGAACCATCTCGTATTTCTTGTTGAAGTCCTCGTTTGGTGGCGCCGATTTGACGTTTAAACCTACACGCTTAGATTCGTGAAAACACCCACAAATGTAAATAAGATAAGTAAAATTGGGATAACTCCAACAACTCTTCATTATAAACGGGCATTATAAAATGCATAAAACACGATATAAAATTTTAAGTGAAAACGCATCTTCGGTACGAAAGATATGCACTCAGAATTAAATGTTTCCAAACTCCTACATAAGCAAACCGATACTTTTTTCATCTAACGTTTAAGCAGCTAATACAGCTAAGTATTCCATCACTTCATTCTTCTGTTTCACTTCAGATATGCTATTCATTGCTTCTTTTGATATCAGGATAAGTCATAAAAAGGAAAAATGAACGATAAAGCTCTCTGCGTTGATCAATCTCTGAGGGATGCGTCACACATTCAATTTCATTAAGCATCATTGAAGGTGACTGAATGCATATCTGGCATTTACAATGACTCACGGTGGCCTAGCGATATATCGAGCCAGTGACGCTATCCTCTCTAACAATTCTGAGTCTGGTAATCTGCGGACCCTGCAGGGATGGAATGCTTGGTGAGCCTAGGACATGGGGATCGATCCCGTGTGTATTGCAAGGCGTCTCCGAGCACTGCGCTACATGCGCTTTGAAAAGTCACAGGTGTGTCGTAATGACATAAGCTTATTCATAATCCAAAAATGAAAAATATGTATACATATATTACTTTTGGTCTTCATGGAACATAAAAATCATATAAAACTCACTTTTATCTTCCTTCTGAGTGAGCTCCAAAACAAACTGGAACAAAAGAAATACTTTAAAAGATTCAACAAAGTAATTACGCCATAAGGATAAAAGTAAACAGCATATACAATCTTTATATGAACTGAGATTATCCTGGGAGTTCACTTATGTGTAGGATTCAAAATTAGGTACCACCAGTAATTTACCACCTCAATAGCTGAGGGGTTCTCCTAGAGTTCGAACTACAATAATGCAAACAGAAATTAATCCTTTAAGAAGATCCCTCAACAGAGATGAAGTTCGGCATTTCCATCAATAAGCCCAGGTATTATTGCAGCAATATCATGTTATTGTGATCAATATCGTAGCAAGTTTCGTCTGCTGAGGTTACGAATAGTGTTTGACTGAGTGGACTGTGTTTTACTCTTCCAGGCTCTGGAAAAGGCGAAACCACCAAAATGTCAGCTATTTTGTACTGAATACTTTGTTGTTAACAACCTTATGTTTGCTCATTAAGAAAATAGTAAATTAAAAATAAATATCAATAATAACCGTCGCACGGGTAAGCACCTTAGCAGCGCGTCGACAAGCATCTCTACAATACACAGTATTCAGTAATTTCATGTGAACACCTTAGTGAAATCGATAGTACGGATAACTCGAGACTACAGGTTCAGGAAATGTCCGTTCCTCTAGTATAGACCGAATTATACAACGCGTATATACGTAATCTTTATATATGTGGGCATTTAGTTAACAAAAAAAGGATAAGCACCGATGAAGGAAACTGAAGGTATATCTGGCCTTTACAATGGCTCACGTTAGTCTACCAATGTATCGAGCCAGTGCATCTATCCTCCCAGATAAGTCTGAAACCAATTCGCCAACTCTGCTAGGATACAGGGCTTGGTGATCCTGAGGCACGAGGATCGATCCTACGCGCATTGCAGAACTCCGACCACTGCGCTACACGCGCCCTTTTGACTACTTTGGATGCTTCTGATTATCTACACGAGCGTCGAGTTTCTCAGATTGTACTACTACACAGGAAGAACCAATATTACACTAATTTGGCACTCAGTAACACCGTTTTACTATGGTGATGTCCCAAAAGAACGTAAAATTGTGCTATTTTGATGATCTAAACTATTTGAGCTTGCACTGAAGACTTTCTAACACATGAGAAAGTACGCCGTAATAAAAATAACTATTATAGGTCTCTATGGATTTGAAAGGGAACAAAGAAATGAACGAAGAAAAGAAATCACAAAGCTAGCTCACATGTTCCCCTGCCTTCTTTTCTGTTTCAGTTTCATCACCAAGCTGATTTTGTCGTTTAGCCCGCTTTCGCTTCTCGGAAACTGCTTTCTTCGATGGTTTTTTAACCGATGCTTTTTTTGTCAGCTTCACCAAATTCCTTTCGAAGCAATTCTCCATCTCAGTCATCGCTATGTCTGCAATACTATGGTTTCTCTATTGAAACTACGACAAATCAATATTTTCGTTTACAAAGAAATGAAGACATTCCGAAAAGAAAGCGAGACTATGGCACTTACTAAATTATGTATAAAAAATAGGTAACTATTTACGCCCTCGGAGGTAATAAGATGATTTCTAAATTGTCAGCTGGGTGAGTTGGGAAAGATGAGTGGTGTGAAATGTAAGGCTGAAAATTTGGATTCAGGAGAATACACTGAGAAGTGAACGTGGACATCGTGAATTGAGGAGTAGCTAGTAATTTAAGAAATGAAAGAAAAACTGTACATGGAGAAGGTTGTTTCAAGCATCACAAACAAAAGCTGAACCCACTAAATGGATGGCCAAGAACGGATGAGAGAAGAAAAGGAAATTAAAGCAAAGATGGAAAAAAAAGATAAAGTATCTGGCGTGAAACATACAAGACAGCAGTTGGCGAGAGAAAAGCGAACAAAGATGCAGGTAGCAAAGTTCATGACCATCTTCTTTTATATCCAGATGGACGAACAGTAGTTCACAATTCGGGAATGAAACTCGTTAGTAACAGCGGAGAGGAAAGAGGTGGTCCGAAGAAACACGGGAGTTCGGTCGAGCCATGGTTGAACGTGGTGGATGGATGGACCAAGGGTGAACGCGGTGAATGGAAGGACCAGGAGTCAGCGCGGCGGGCGACCGCTTGTGCGCGACCCCGCACGGAACGCCTGAGGTCGTTACGTTGCTTCTTGTTGGCACTCGTGACACTCGTGATGAGATCTCATTTCCGACTAGGATGGGTTCGCTTTCCGAACTTTCATTTGGATCCTGTTAACTTTCAATGACTTGCTACCAGGGCCGTAAGTTCAAGTCTTGCTTGACGTAATCTGACATACTCTTTGGAGGTATCCTTTCCGGTTTTTCGCTTTTTTTTCTCTCGTCACTTATTCCGATGGTTATTTCCCAGGCTGTATCTGTTTAACTGGGGTTTTTATTCTTGGATCCTAATCTTAGCACAATCGACAAACTGCTTGCGAGAATTCTTGTGGTTATTTTCTGGACTTTATCCACTCGACTGAAGCTTTCAGTCTTTGATCCCTTAACGTTGCTAACAGAATTCCAGGAATAGTACATTGGTTTACAAAGACGTTCATGGTGTTTTAATGATAGGTTTAACTCTGTCAATGCTGTTAACTTCTTATTTACTGGCTACTACAATTTTTTATGGCAGGATATTATGTGAAATATAATCACTATGATGCTGAGATACTTGCAAATCCGCTGATCCTAACGCGTTCTTCACCACCACACCGTGCAGGTCTTTCTTTTTTCCTTTCTCTCTGCTAGTTTTCTATCTACTAGTGTCATCAGAAACCACCTGTGAACGGGATTGATCAGCGAAGCACAAATCGGCACTGAACTCCGTTAAGCTGAGGCTGTAGGCGAAAAGGTCTCGTATGGTGTGGTGGTGAACACGTTAGTCTCAGGAAAGGGTAATAGCGTGTTCGATCCCGATCGCAGAAATCTGGTGTCTGGGATTTTGCAAGTGTCTTAGCACCATTGTGGATCTATCAACACTTTCAACGGGTGGAAATTAGTAGTTCGTCGATTCCAGCAATGATGGTTCCGTTTTTTGAACTCCGCTGGATCAGATATTGTTAATTTCACAATTGCAATGTGTCCAATGCTTCTTGAAGGAAAATTTTAGTAATGCCTTGAGTAAATACAGGTGGTTTTCAGTTTGTCCTTATCTTGTGCTCCGCTTAGGTTCGTATGACGGTTACTATGTCCAATGATGAGCGAAGCCCAGATTCGCTCCGGTCTTCTACGAAGACCCCACCGACGACTCCTACCGACAAATCCTCGAACGTCAAGAGCAGTAGTTCTGGGTAGGTGGCTTAATTCCACGATGATGTCCAATACGAAGAGCATATTCCACAGGTTACGCGAATGCGACATCCGCTCCCAGTTAGAGGAAGAAGCGATAGAAGCTGTGCGTGAGTTCTCGTATGCCGTTCAGTCGGTTTGCATCTCGGAAATGTTGCCTCGCACCAGTGATCTGTTGTTCCTGAATCTCACTACATTGGAGGGAAAAACCTACTGTATTGAGTTGACTGGTAGGTTATGGTTAACGTTTGAGTGTTTCGTTTATACTAGCTGCCGTATAGATGTTTTTTCAAGCACAACATTTCCTCCTTGTGAGGTGGTTTTAAATCAGAGCTTTGTTTATGCTCCTTGTTCGCTTGTTATAGATTATCCACCCCCTTTCTTTTCTTTGAGTAGTTAAGGGTTTCTTTTTGGTTTCTTTCTGAATGTTTGTCGAGGGGCGCGTGTGGCGCAATGTTCGGAGGCGCCTTGCAACACACATAGGATCGGCCCTCATCCCCAGGGCTCACCTAGCCCTCCATCTCTCCGGGGTCGGCAAATTGGTACCAAATTTGTCTGGGAGGATAACAGCACTGGATCGATTCATCGGTAGGTCACCGCGAGTCATTGTGAAGGTCAGATATGCATTCAATGAGTCCAAACGACGCTTAATGAAGTCGTATGCATGGCGCATCCCCTAGGGATTGATCAACGCTAACAGCTTTTTTCTTTGTTTATTCACCAACGGAATTTCTTCTGTTTTGCAAACCTTTTTGCGCTTTGTCTCTCCTACCGTCTGCTCATTGTCGAACGACTTGATTATATGGTGTTGGTTTCTTTCCATTCCCTTCAGATTTCAGAGCTGCCTAATCCGTTCAGCGTACTGAAATGGCGAGAAAGACGTATTTTCCACTTAGTACCCGCGTAAAGTAGTCCGACAATAGTGAGCGATATTCGTCCCGTGCGGTTGACATCTTGTTCTACACATTTACTGAAGACAACATTAGCACTGTTTTGGCAAGACCTTCAACTAACTATGATTTGGTCGAATTCGTTAAGCTACTGTATATTGGGGTCTCCCATGTCTAGCGTTAAGAGCAGTGCTTCTGGAATTGCGAGTTGCTTTGAATGGTCTTGCGCGTCATAATGATCTCAGACATCCGCTCGTTCCATTTTGATCCCTAGGTCTCAATATGGCGTTTTGAGACATTCTTCTAGGCCTAATCTTATCGTGAAAGTCTCCAGTGGTGGCCTTGAAAAATGTATGGTCTTCTCTATAGAACTTCTCTAATTCCATATAGAACGCTTCGACTTCTTCGTTATTGTTTGATGTCGGCGCATAAGCGACGAAGACCGTCAAAGCCGGATTGATCCACATCTTTTAAATCGTAAACGTCTGATTCGGGTTGTAAGCTGCTCGAATGAATCGATTGTTCATAGACAAACTCGTGTTGACGAAAACGCCGGCGCCGCCGACTCCTCTATTGTCGCATGTTTCGAGGAACAGTTATTTTACGGTGTCATTGACGGTGTTGAATCGGCGGCGTGTGTCGTCTCGGTTAGTCCGATAACGTCGTACTTTATTCTTCTTGGCTGTCTAATCAAATCCTCCGTGGAGGACTCAGAAGCATGCATTTTAACTACAGGTGATCCTCTTAGTCCTCCGAAGTTTAGGCAACCGAGAATGACCCTGAGATTTTAGCAGCCTCACCGTACTCGTTCTATCCATCTCATCGCGCTGTGTAGGTGTACTCATTTTAATGTGTTTAGCTCTTTGATACTCACGTATAGCTCTCTGACCTGAGAAGACGGGGCTGGGTATGCTCACGGGTAGCTTGCCAGCCTCTCCAGTAGATTAGGAGTTTATTTATTGGATAGGACTCCTAACCGCGTGCTATGTTTCACCTGGTTTTCTCATAACGTTTTCGAGTGGCGCTGAAGTGTTCAAGTGGGATTGACTCATCTCTGATTGCAACAGCAAAATTCGATATGTGAACTGAAGCCCGTGTGCCTATGACTGAGACCCTGGAGGCTACTTTGTTGAACCACTCTTCCACTGTCCTTTATATGTCCTTTGAAAAATACCACAGTTCTGATGGTGAATTTTATGTATGAGTTATGAAATATGTGTACACGTGGAGTCGATTGTCATGATATTCATGATTTGTCTTCCGTCTTATCCAAAAATCCAAATCCTAGCCTTCAGGTCGATAATAGTGTTGTTCTATTTGTTTCCACAGTTCTAACACTATGTTATGATTTATATCCAATGTTTGGCAGGACCCTTATTACTATTGTTGTTCTTATTAGTACCATTATTTTTTTATCTATATGACCCGTCTTCGCGTCTACTGTGCGGATCCCAGCACTTCTCACATTCAATTCGTTTTCTCCCATCCATCGTTCATTAAGGTATTTCAACTTTTACGTGTGGCTTCAGCAACTACTTGAGGATTTTCATTTCATGTTGAATGTCGTAGAATGCTGATCGAGTCGACTCTTCCTGGAGTCCTGAGGTAGCTGGGCTGGACCGTTCCCAATTGGATGGCATAGCGTATTCCTTTCCTGGATATGTCCGGTAGCAAGTTGCCGACCCCGGAGGGATGAGAGGCTTGGTTGGACCGGAGCAGAATCGAACTAGTACCATGCTCGTGATGACCGACATCACTGCCACTGTTCTATTCGCCCTATTTACTACTATTATTGCTATTAACACGGCCATTATTGTAAAATGGGATTTTAATTTGATTTTTTGTTTTGTTTTTCAGGCCTTTTTTCTGTTTCATTTCAGCGAAAGGTTGGCGGATTGCCAGCAACCGAGCAGACTGCATGAATGGTGATTTCCGACAACTTTACATACACACGCAGTATTTTGAGTCTTTGAATCAACTGTTAGATTCGATCTCGCCTTCATACCGACAGCGATTCGGCGGGAAACTCGCCGAAAAACTAAATAATCTTAGCAAAATTGGTTAATTAATGTAAGTCTGCCACTGGTTTTACATCAGGAATTCTAGTGGTGCTATGACAGTGTTTCAATAGTAGGATCAAAGGTCACAGACGGTCTTTGAGTAATGAAATAGGTTTTTATACAATTCTAGTCGTTTCAAGACGCTGTTCAGCCTCCCTTTTGTCGAATTCGTTCCAAAATACCTAACAGTTGTAATTCCGAATAGGTGTAGTTTATTCATCTCATTTGTCCTCTCCCTCTCTTTCTTTCGCTTTCTGTCCATTTCTCTTTGTCCTCCACCTTTTCCCCTCTATGTAGGCAATATTATGTTGTGGCTTATTAAAGCAGTTCGACTGAAATTTTCTATAAAGAGGCAACTGTTGGTGCTGTTGGCATTATTGGTGGCCAGGTATACAGCATTCGATTACTACAGCTCTGGTCGATTGGTTTTGTTCGCCAGCTAGCCAGTGTAACATTCTGATTACTACGTTACTGTACTGAAAAGTACTCCAAGATTCAGTCTCTGGTCAACAGTTGACAAGTAGATAGATGACGTACTTGCCGGGTTTCTGGATTTATGCCTCTCTAGCCTTAGTTTTATGCAAACCTCTTGTTTCCATAGTGGTTGCCAAATAGAGAAAACTTGCTTAAACTTTATTGATTTTCGAGATATCTCTATGAATTCTGTCCCAGCGTTTTTTTTATCATTGCCCTCATTTCTGCACTTTCTTAATATGTAATAAACATTTTTTTACAGTGTTTAATGTTTGTTGCATCCTTTGTTCTATATACCACAATCAATACTTATTTGGTTGCTTGGATGGCCCGTCTTCACTGGTTATGCGGGCACCGGCATAATCTCTATCTTTTGTAGTTTTGCTGGTTGATCCACTGTGTTTCCCTGGAGTCCCGAGGTCAGCATGGTCAAAGTCTGCCCCAGGCCCTCACCACTACAGTCAGTCGCCGCCTATGTGAATCAAGACGAGATTTGCCACCATGCGACTAGTTTGATAATAGGACGGTGGTGGATCCTGGTATTGGTTTACTCTTAGCTGGGTTTCCTGGTCGAATCACCGGACTCCTCAGCTTGAGAGGACATAATCAATAAATAAGAGATCAATTCCACTCCGTTTTACGGTTTTAGGAGCATCAGCTTTTATTCGTGTTGTAGTTTTATTTTTAGCTCGATTTACGCGCTTGTAGAATAGTAATTCTTGCAATTTTCAGATCAATTTACCTGTCTCTATGCCTCGCTCACTGTCCTCACGTTATGCTCTTATACATTTGATGTGTCCAGAAATATTTTGTATGTTTTGAACTCTCATATTTTTTCTAGTTGGGAATCGGCAGGAATGGTGGGTGTTCGGTGGCGCCTGATTAGTGTTTTGGTACTGGCAACTGTAAGCGTTCCTACAAGTAAGTTTAGTGTTCGTTTCTTCGTTGATCCCAGCATTTATAGATTGTTAACGTGAAGATTATCATTGTAAGCCAACTTTGATTTAATCTCAGGATGAATGATCAATGTACTTTGTTTAATTGATAGGCTGACATGGGGTCGTTACCAATATTTATTCTGCTAGCGTTTCGACGTCTTCGTCTTTCTCAGAGTCGATGATCCAAATAGATGGTCCACAATTGTTCGTCTTCTCGATGTGGCGTCTTCGTACCGGTCGGATCTTCCTCAGTGGGACATCTCTCGAATGAGCTATACGCTCCTAACAATCGCCTTTTATACAGGGCGGTTGTTATCGATATCGGTTACATCGACAAGACAAACGACTGTGGACATCGATTCGGATCGTCGGCTCTGAGGAAGATGAAGGTGTCGAAACGTTCAAGGACAAAAAGCTCTTGGCGTTGATCAATCCTTGAGGGATTCGTCATGCATTCGACTTCATTAGGCATCGTTGTAAATGATTGAATGCATACATGGCCTTCACAAAAACTCGCGGTAGCCTACCGATGTATCGTGTCAGTGCTGTTATCATCCCAGACAGGTCTGGTATCAATTTGGCGACTCTGCAGAGATGGAATGCTTGGTGAGCCTGGAGCGTGGAGATCGATTCATTATATATTGCAGGGCGTCTCCAACAACTGTGCTGCATGTGCCCCTGTTGAAACGTTAACCGTATAATTTTCTTTTCTATAATCTAAGCGTTTGTGTATTGGTAACAAAATCGTGCTAGTTTATCAATGAAACAACGTACATTGTTGGCATTAAATCGTAATGATAATACAGATGCTGCGTTCGGCGCAATGTCCATCGATTTTGGAAGCCAGTTCTTGAAGGTGGGAAGGATATTGTATTTTTTTTTTTACACTTTTTTAATCCTGTTGGATGCTGTTTTTCTCCAGTTGCTTTTCTTGTCGTGTTTTACCACAGAGTAATTGTGCAGGTGGGACTCATCAAACCAGGAATGCCGATGGAAATTGTTCTCAACAGAGAATCTCAGCGAAAGACTCCTAGTGTCTTGTCCATTAGAAACAACGAGAGGTGCTTGTTTGTTCCTTTTTTTGAACGGTGTATCACAAACACCATTAGATTTTGGTTTTATGATGGAAATGTATGTCTACTAGTTCGAGAATGTGCCGTATGCAAGTCTCAAGTGTTCATGAGATGTAAGACGTTTGTGTAGGCTGTTCGGTGATGCAGCACAAGCGATTGCCTCCCGACATCCTGCCAGTGTCTATGGACATCTACTGGATTTGGTCGCTAAGCATGCAGATCATCCCTCAGTGGTTTTATTCCGAGAACGCTTTCCACAGTTGAGAATGGAAAAAGAGGAGAACATGAGTACCATCGTCTTTCCGATTGGGTACGCTTGTGCTTTGATTTATGTCTGCAGATGAAGGCGGTGAAATGTCTTGAGAACGTGGTGGTTAGCTGATTCCTTTTAAGATAACAGTATTCACTTACAAATCTGGAAGGATTTCTTCCACTAAACTTTCCACTGAACCCGAATTCCTATTGGAATATAGTCGTGAGGGTATTCATGCGTAGCTTTGTTTCTTAACCTCTGATGAGTGTGGAAAACTTCGTTTATGATTCCTAGCCTTACTTTAGCGACACTGTTTATTCGGTCGAAACTCTACTTGCGATGCTATTGACGAATGTACGGGAGTTTACTGAAGCTTACGCTGAGGTTTTCTTCAAACTCTTTGTTTTTCTCTCATTTACAAATATTGATTTGTTCATGTAGTTTTACAGACGGCTATTCGTGATGTTGTAATTAGCATACCTGTATTTTTCACGCATGCAGAACGCCTCGCTATTGAAAAAGCTACAGAAATAGCTAAGTTGAATCTACTACAGGTTAGCCAATATAGTAAAGTTGGTCTCTTCAGTTATCTCCGATGTTGTTGCTTTATGTCTTGTTAGTTTTGCTGTTTCTAAACACTTTGACTTCTTATCCATCATGTTTAAGCTCATTAGTGACGGAACGGCTGCTGGTCTCAACTACGGAATGTTCCGGCGGAAGGAAATCACCGAAAAACCACAACGCCTTTTAATTTATGACATGGGCTCAGCAAAGACTGTAGCGACTATTGTGGAATACAAATTGGTGAAAGCCAAATATGGCAATGAGCCGAAGGTGCTTTGATTTTCCCGATCAAGTCAATTTCTAAAACTCTGCGGCCTGTTTGCGGAAAAATTCGACTTCTATTGCTTTAGATGTCCGTACTCGGTGTAGGGTTTGATCGACGGCTTGGTGGGTTAGAGATGACAATGCGGCTGAGAGATCTTCTGGTAAAAAAGTTCAATGAGAATTACAAATCACAGAATGATGTCATAAGAAATGAGCGTGCTATGGCGAAATTATTCAAGGAAGCGGAGCGTCTTAAGCAGGTGAGCCACTGGCCTCTCGTGGTCGGAATGTTTATAGGGCTACGCTGTTTTTTTTCATTAGGGCTTCTTGAGATGTTATGATACGTTTGAAGTAATACACAATGTATATGTACTTATGCCACAAATGATTTATTTACATAGAAAAATATCTTAAATTCTTCCATGTATGCTTTCCGTCTTATTTGACATACTGTTCTTTCTTTTTTAAAAGATTTTCTAGCTAGTAGTGATCTGTTTACTTTATTAGTATATTCTTCAGGTGTTAAGTGCAAATCTTGACCATTTTGCTCAAATCGAAAGTCTTCATGAAGAAATCGACATGCGTGTGCAAGTCACTCGTGAGGAATTCAATCGGCTAATCGATGATCTATTGACACGTCTGGTTGTGCCAATAGAACAGTCACTAAAAATGGCCGAATTGCAACTGGACCAGGTTTCTTAGCAATAATTTCATAACTTATGGTCAGTTTTGCTTGTATCACCCGTAACACCTGTCCTCGAGCTGATTGTCCAGTGACCCGTGCGCATGACATCAGTCTCCAATTGTCTCCGTCGCTATAACAGTAGCGTTGCTTCTCTGTGCACTGGAATACTATATTTCTCTTCTTGGATCGCCGTCATGTCTGATTTAGGGGTCTGTGCTGTTCCTGCTGTGTGGTTCACCTCCCATGGGACCTTGTCTATAGTGGTTCTTGTCTATCGGTTGTCGCTCAGTCCTATCACGTGTCTTATCCATCTGATTTTTGGCAGAATTCGATAGTGTAGGGGCGGATAGCACAGTGGTAGTAATGTCTGTCATCAGGAGCATGGAGCTGGTGCGGTTGCGCCCCGGGTCAACTAAGTCTGTCATCCCTCCGGGGTCAGGAAGTTGTAGCCGGACTTATCGAGGAAAAAAATTACTCTCTGCAATCCATTTGGGAACGCCTCAGTCCGGCTACCGGAGGGCTCTGGGGATTATCGACTTGACTAGCATTCTACGACATTTAGGATGAAATGAAAATCTTCAAGCAGTAGCCTAAGCCACACGTAAAAGTTGAAAGATCTACGTGCATAGTGGGTGCGAGAGAACGAATCGAATGTGAGAAGTGCTGGGATCCGCACAGTAGACGCGAAGACGAGTCATATAAAATAATAAAAAAAGTGATTCGGTAGTATATTTGTTAATACTGAGTAGTGTTTCATCGTATTTGCATTTTCGAGAGGAGGTAGAATCGTAGTAACGAAAAGTGCCCACAAAAGCGAGTCTTTCTTCTATTCAGCGCATCGTCAATGTATTCTCAAGGTTTTGATGCTAAGTCGTCTACAATTCCGAAGTACTCGTTCCATTGAGCTTGATGAATGTGCGTCAGAAAATTGTCACTGTCTATCCGTAGTACACTTTCTTCTGTTTAATGAAGCGTAAACCAATGTATGTTTCTTTCTTCTTTGTGGTTAGGTTAACTCTCAAACAACTTTTCTGACTCTGAGCATAATCGGGTTTTTCTCCGTTGCCTTCTTGCAACGGAACGAGTGGAAATTCTCGATTCCTTGAGCATATGAGTGTCGTACGAAAACTATAGGTTATGCAGGTGGTATATTCGCAACTACAGTGGTTCAGTATTCTCACCGTTGTTGAATACTCTTTGTTCAAACCTGAGCATGTGACAAGACTAAGAATTTTTCGACAGCGTCATGCTAAATTGATCTAGTAGTTCTGGCAACCGCTACTGTTTCGAAATCCTTACAGGTGACTGTTTAGATTGATCAAGTGGTTTTAATGGGTGCGGGTACTCGTGTGCCGAAGGTGCAAGAAGAGCTGCAAAAGTTCATCAAAGGGTATGCTGTTTTTTGACTACAGGGAGTTAATAAATTTTTGTTATATCAGTACAGAAAACACTAGTGGTATGTTTTTTTCTCACGCTTATATCCTTAGTTTCTTAGGTAGAATTTCCGTTTTAGAAAGGAACTCGGTCGCTTTTTGAACACCGATGAGGCTATTGCCATGGGAGCGTTGTATCAGGTATACATCTACTTTGAATTCCAGTTTTAGAAATGGTGTAGTTTAACCTAGTTTTCTTAAAATCGTTGTTTCTAGGCTGCTCACCTAAGTAAAGGATTCAAAGTGAGACCATTTATTGTTGAGGAATTGGTTATTTTTCCTGTACAGGTAGGTGGGAAGGGATGTTCTGTCGTTTTACTTACTGTCTTTTAAAAGATTTTTTGTTAACATATTGTTTACATTGTTAACTTGTCGTGATGTTCTGTATATATATATATATATATATATATATATATTTGTGTATATTTGCATATACATGTGTATAGTTTTACTTTTTTGTTTTATTTTTCTGACAGTTTTTAATCTCCGGCTTTCAGGTCAGTTTCATAAGTAAGCAGAAACAAGAAAATGGTGAAATTGTAGATAAACCCATCACACGACATGTTTTTCAATTCAAGTCGAAATATCCAACCAACAAAAAGGTAAGTGTAGTGTAGTATAGTGAACTCACTGGGTTATTGAGCGTTTCCAGCATATGGACACAAAAAGCCTCTCAATTTGTGTTGAGTTCTTAAAAGAGCTCGTTATATGTGTCTTGCTAGTACGTAATAAAAATAGATGTTGGAGTAAAAGGAGATGAAGCAAGGCTGAAGCATCTATTTTCTTCAACTCGCAGTAGACAGTATGAGTGGTTTCAACTCGTATCTTGGCGAAAATATTTCTAACCTTCAACGAACGTCCTAGCTCATAGTGATCTCCGCTGTTCTATAATCTTTAGAACCTACAAAGTGCTAAAAAAGTCTTTCTAAGAATGTAGAAGTTCTCCTATGACACCATACTAAATTGTCGATTTTCTGGGAAGCATAATTTTTTCCTCGTCGGAGACTTGTGTTTTAAATTACAAAGCAATTGTTCAAGAAGGATTTCAGAAAGAAGGACGATTGTGTCCTTAATTTATCCCTTGTTACTTGCACTTGCTGCGCTTCTGTTAAAAAAATGAAAACGTGTAAATTTCGTCTCATGATTTTTCCTTTTGAAAGTTTGGATTTTAGGTGAGTTCAAAACCGGAAAAAGACTTACAAAAATTGTATATTTTAAAATAACAGAGCATTTCGAAAGTTTGATATCTAAATAGGTTTAGAAAATGGAATAACATATAATAAAGATCGTGTATACCTTTGAAGCGATAGAGCAAAGTCTCTGTTATGAGTATGTCAAGTTTAAACTCCTGAAATAATCTAGTTATCAAAAATTTCTCAGAAGTTATCGAAAAACTGCCGTTATGTGTTGACGAAGTGGATTTTGAAAAGATTTCACAGTTCATTTCTCTGCTATTCTCTATCCTATTTTTCTAAACAGTATGATGTTTTCTCTTCTTACAATAACATTTTAGATAATTACTTTCACTTCCTATACGGATGACTTTTCGTTTGACCTGGCCTACTCGGACCTAACGCATTTCAATGAACAGCAGAGGAGGTTTGTATCCTATATGATAAATTAACGGTAAGGGGATATAGGATAAATCTCTTGGCGTAGAGCAATCTCTGAGGGATGCGTCATGCATTCGACTTCATTAAGCATCTTTGAAGGTGACGGAATGTGTATCTGGCCCCTACAATGACTCGCCGTGGCCTGCTGATGTATCGCGCCAATGCTACTATCCTCCTAGACAAGTGTGGTACCAATTTGCCGACCCCGGAAGGATGGAAAGCTTGGTGAGCCATGGGCGCAGGAGTCGATCCCGTGTTTGTGTGTACTGCTGGGCGCCTGCGACCACTTAGCCACAGGCGCCCTTCTAAACATTCGCGATATTATTCATAGATAATACGAGTTATTCATAGGGATGGTTTTCTGTTAGCTTCGGTGTTATTCATTAGCTCTGTGTTTTATGAAGCAGACGCGAGATTGTTATTAACAAAATTTCACTACTACCTGAAGTTTCAGCGGTTTCGCCTTCATGAGAGTCAGAAAAGGTCAAGTTGACACCCACCCTACTCAGGCGAACAATTTCATAACAACAGAAAAAGGTCATATTTTAAATTTCGATCGGGGTGTAGTGGGTAACACGTGAGCCCCCGGAAAGGGTAGTCGCGGGTTCGCATCTGGCCCGGGATTCAAGTTTTGCAAATATCTCGTTTTCATAGTGGTTCTACTTTACAAGTTCCCCATATTTTTCTACAATTAATATCGATTTACATGGTTGTGTGTTCAAAAAATCTGCTGTTTATGGTGCAGTTTTTCTCTGTCTAAGACGGCATTCAATAGGTAGTGCGTCATCATTTCTTCCAGTTCGATTTCGTCACATTGTACTTGGCCCTAACGTGCATTATCAGGTCGTCAATAGAGGATTCAGATGTTGGCATATATGTATTAGATGTCGATATAACCTTCCAGGTCTAAGCAGCTGGCATTCTATCGTGACAGAATTTTCGTACTTGGTCTAGTCAACTGTGCCTTGTCTTTCAGAGTCTTGAATGAGATTTTGAATGAGATCCTGTTTTTACTGCTTTTAGCAAGAAGTGCCTGTATGGGTGGGTATATTCTTAGTTAACTTGCCGTATGTCTCAAACTAGAACTTATTTGTTGGAGGCAACTCGGAGTCAATTCCTAGTCACTGGATTCCTTTCGACCTAATCGATGCTCATGGAGGTTGATCATTTATGCGGAACAGCGAACACATACGCATGATCCATTTTAAATGCTCTTAATGCGATAAAGAAAATCATATGGGTTTATGATGTTCTCGAAACTGCAGTTATGGAGTAATTTTCGGCTCATATTTAAATGCAAGGGGATGGTGTAACCAAATGGTCAGAGCTGCACTGCAATACACATAACCAAGAACCAAGACCACCATCTCTTCGAGGTTGGCAAATTGGTTAGCTGTATAAAATTACTGTCTTCATAGATCGCAATCACTGTGTAACCAAGTGGACCATTTTTCCATTCATTCACTTCTGTTGTGGTTAATAGAGTCGTATGCATGGCGCATCCCCAAGGATTGATCAACGCCGAATCCTTTATGCTCGAAAAGTGCGCGCTATCATATGTTGGTTACACTTTGTCAGTAGTACATCCATGTTTTACATACAGATTTAAATGCATTGCCTTGCCAACAATGAGATTTAGCGTAGTACATTTTATTCTATATCTACTATATTTTCAGAGAGTTCGATTCGCTTCTTCCAAAACTAAATACAATATCCGTGTTCGGCGTGGCAAAAGCGCTTGAAAATGAGTTAAAGCCTGATGAGACAGATTTTGTTGGAGTGAAGGTATTTGTTCAATACTATCTGACGAAGCAACGATCCCATCTCTTAAACCTTCTTTAGATCGGATTTCTAGTGGACTTGTCGGGAGTCCTTCGTATTGAGAAGGCTGAGGCAGTAATCAAACGAAAAAGTCAAGGAGTGGTTGAAAGCGAGTTTATGAATTTTTGACTGGTCCTATTGTTCTATGAGTGTAGATATAGACGTTATTTAACGAACCGTTGTTTCAGCTATCACGAAAACGATTAGTGGTTTCTTTTCAAAGAAGGCTGAAGAAGGAGAACCGACAGATTCTGACGATAAGAAGGATAATGGAATTGGTGAAGCTGTAAATGATGCAGAGAGTTTTCAATCTACTGATAAGAAATTGCCTAGTACGGATGGCAACCCTTTAAACGATGTCGTCGAAGAAGTGGATAAGAAAGATGTAAATGAGAATGAGAAACAATTAGATGGGAAGAAAGAAGATGAAGCGCAAGATGATATGAAGCTTGAATCTGAAGACGGAAAAGGTGGTACAATAGAAAGAAACGCATCTACAGAACAAAATAAAGTAATTTTTGCACTTTTGTTTTTTTCTCGGCATTTTGTATAGTCTTTAAGAAAGTTTAGAACAAGTTAAACAAGTTGACAAGTAACATGTTGTTAAACACGCAAGCAGTAACGATTTCTTTTCATCGCTAAGAATTCTCAGCCCTATAAAAGCGTCACCAAAGTTACTTTGAAGCTGTGTGAAGCGTAGACAACAGCTTTTAAGTAGCTGGACCTGTTAGCAGCTTAGAAACTGGAAAAATGGAAATCGGAAGAATTTGATAGTGTACTTTCGTTGGTTCAAAACACTTCTTACTTTTCGAATCAGCATAATAATAGTTGAATAATTTTACAATCTTCGAAAGTGAATATCTGCGTTTAAGGAAAATACAACAAGTGAAGCGTTTACGAAGGAGAGGGGTAAAACCCCAGAAGTTGTACGAGTCGTGTTGAAGACCAAGGAAGAGTACCCAACTGTCCATTTGATGAGCAAGGACGATGTCAGTGCTGCCAAGAAGATGTAAGTATTCTTCCAAGTGTATGCAAAATACGGCCTCTTTACTATTGATCGCTCATTAATGATTTCAGCTTGGAACAATTTGAAAAGCGCGAACGTAATGCTCGTGAACGTGCAGTGGCCGTGAATGAATTGGAAAGTTATACATTCGATGTGAGCCAATTTATCGAAGAAGAAGAATATATAAAACATTCTACGGAAACGGAAAGGAAGTTGCTGCAAGACGAGGTGGGACAAGTTTTCTCAGGGCGAATATTTTAGTGCCGATAGGATAATTCTCGTCCTGTCATTTTGCATTTTTTCTTGAACGGAAGGCAGTGCTCTCTGTATCGATTACGTTTGTACGTTTGGTTTTATAGTATTGTCACCATGCTGTGAACTCGTGTTATTTTTTTTTACATGGCACGTCTTTCACATGTACTGTGTGGAACCTTGAAATTCTTTCATTTAATTCGTTTCCTTGCACCCATCATCCACGACGGTCTACCAACTTTTTGCGTTTGATCTCGGTATAGGGTCGATTCAGCGCTTTTAATCATCGGCACCACTACCACTATCCTACCTGCTCCCTACTCATAATACTTATCCTATAAAAGTCGAATTTTTGAGTTAATGGTAGGTCTCAAAGAACTCATTTGAAACTTGGTTTGATTGAAATATATCACTGTAATAATCGTGGTCTAGATAAAGCGTATCCGAATCTGGCTGGAAGACCATGTCACAATGGAAACAAACGTTGCTGAATTCACGAAGAATCATGTTGCTTTAAAGATACTTGTTAAACCAATAAAAAGGAGAATCGATGAAGCAAAAGTTAGTTTAAATAGATAAATCACGTCATTACGTTACTCGAGGTATTGCTAGGATTCCATGGAAAAATATTGAAATATCAAGTGTTTAATTAAGAGTATGAAAAAAAATGGACCAGTTTGTTATACGGATTGTAGTACCTTTGATCTTACATTTAAGTCTATTTTTTAGCTTTCTTGCTAAAGACTTCCTTTACATTGTTCATCGTATGTATTTGTGGTATAATAAGCGATTTTTCTTAGACGCTTGCACCAGCAATAGCTAACCTGGAAACAATGTTGAACTCATCTCGTATTATGGCCAGTATGGGAGGTGATGATGAGAAGTCGCTTTTCAGCCAGGTAGTTTTTTTGTTTTCTTTTTAAGTCACGAAAGGCCCTTCTTGACGGTGTTTATGGATGTATGCCCATTGGTAACAAATACAAAAGTGTTATTTGAATCATATAATCCATAGACGAATTTCAGGCTGATGCAGAAACGTTCGGTAATAAACTGGATAAGCTTGCTACATGGTTAGATGAGAAGAAAGCGGAACAAGCTAAGCGCCAACCTCATGAAGATCCTGCAGTTTTGACGAGTGAAGTCACAGCAAAGGTGAGAAGCTTCTATATACGAATGACTCCATTTCTTTCCTCAAAAATTCAGTACTTCTTAATGTACCTATGGTACTTTTTTGGTGTGGGTTTCACAGGTCACATCCAGACTAAAAGTCTGGGTCCTGGGCCTTGTTTCTGTTGTTCTTTCTGGAGTGGAGGTTATTTCGTTTGTACTTGAGAAAAAGGTGTGGAACTGAAAAGATATAAAATTATGTGAATGCGACGAAGTATAATTTACTAGATCCGTCTGCGTCTTACTAGAACGTGTTTAGCTGAGCACATTGCTTCCGAAGTTTTAGAAGCTGTGCGCTTTAATTCAACCTGATTGTGGTTATGTGCGGATTTTAAACAAACGTAATTCTTCTTCTGTTATGTTATATTCCAGTTCAAAGTGCTGGATCGTGAGCTGAACTCATATATGAAGAAGATGAAACAGACAAGGATAAAGGATATAGAGAGCTTGCTAAAAAATGACTCTAAGGATAGTCAAGACACGAAATCAGACACCGAGGAAGTCAAAGAGAAAGCAGACATTAAGGAAGCTGAAAGTGCAGGAAATACTGGCGAGGAAAAGAGCGAGATAGATGGGGAACTGAGTGCTGATCTCACTAACGAAACGCACAACATTAAGGAAGAGTTGTAGGATAATTATTTTCAGGAATTTCGCATGGGTACCTTGTGTTGGTCTTTATAAGGTTGGCTTTAGGGAGTTACCGGTATAATTAACATCGTTGTTTTTGACATTATGTCCCATTCCTATCGTGCTTTGTGAAGCAGTAAAATACACTGTGATCATTGTTTGTTTGTTACACTTCAAAGGTGTTTATTGTTGTTTTGTCCAACAACACCGTGCAAGTATGGTATCCATATTTATTCTATTATATTTCACAATGCTCTTCGTTTTACACAAAAGTAATTTGGAAGATTATAATAAACTTTTTTCGTTTCGATGCTGCAAAGTAAGTTAATCCTGGCCATAGGAGACCATCTAGTAAGGGTAAGACAGCCAATAGTACGACTGTCGTTGTTGGGGAAGCTGTTGCAAACGCAACTGTGACGCCAGTTGTTCTTGACGCTGAAGTAGTTGTAGTCGTTGTTGAGCTGGTTTATAATTACTGGTCAAGGAGGACTCGTAATCTTGTGGATATAGCTCCATAGATAAGTAGGAGAGTTGTGGATCTCGAGAAGCTTCTCGTGTTGCAAGGATGCGTTCTGGTGGAGGTACGTTGGAGCTGGTTTCAATATCTGGAGAACCTTCTGGATTTGTCGACGGCCTGTTAAACATCGACAAGTTTAAAGTGTTACGCCCCTGAGGGACGGCTTCAAAGGGAAATAGTGCCTGCTCTACTTCGTTCGCTGACGGAGCTTGCATTATAGTGAATGGCGCAAAAGTAGAACCGATAAACTGAGTGAGAAGTAGTGAAATTCGCTGGAAATGGATAATTTAACGAGAACAGCTGTTCATATTCATGAAACTAAGTCTTATTAACAAACTTGTCTTAGCTTCGGATAGTTAACACGCATTCCCTTCTGTAGGAGCAGAGTGATGCTATCGAACTAAATAGGAATACATTAACGAAAATTATACGTTTGGATAAGTTCGTTGTAGTTTATTAAAGTGTTTGTGAGAGAAGGTTTAATGAGCGTTGTATTAGATTGTTTGGAATTTCATGCAGGGTTTCTATCTGCATTATAAAAATGGCTTATCTTAGTACAGAATGAAATTTATCAATGTAAATCACTAGAATCCACAGATTTGTGTCCTCAAAAGCAAATTTTTTCATGCTGTTTGCAGAAAACTCTGGAATTCTAGTGGGGATGAAGTCGTTAAAGGCAGTTTCGACATTGGTTTGTTTCCTTAAACATTTCTTGTACAGGAAATCGTCGAGATGCCTGAGCAAGCTGTATTTGGTAGGCAACAAGTCTAGCGAATATGGTGGATGAGGCAAGGTTTCGTAGCCAAGCTTTTTAAATCCTTACAGCGTCGGTTACGCGAAATGTAGCAATGCGCCGGTAGTGCGAAGTGTTTCCAATTCGTACGATATTTAATTATCCTAAAACAGCTAAAATGCTCACGTCGAGTTCTGCAAGTGGTCAAATAATTGTCCTTGCGTTTGCTTCCGCCTAAGGATTAAATTCACCGCCGTTTATAAAAGACGGATATCGGCAATCTTCCTCATCTCCAACGTCGAATTCACATTGATGACATTTTCCAAGCCAACGTTGGACTGTGCTTTCCTTAACACTTCCTCAGCCTCGTTAATGTTTCGGGTCATTAGCCCTGCACAACGTCCAACTGTGATTTCGTAGAATTAGATTAGTTGAAATCGCCGTTTTGATATTTCAATTTCTATGTCAAATTTGTCGAGAATGCATTCTATGTTATAATGAAATTTTACAGTGCGGAAGTGCATAAAATGCCAGGAACTTCAATAATACTTACTTGAATACTTGGACGGCTCGCCCTCACTGGTTGCGCGGCCCCAGTACAATCCCCATTTATCGGAGTTTTGGTAGTTTAGCCATTGTGGTTTTTTGAAGTGCCGAGGTCAGCCAGGACGAACTCTGCTCCAGGTCGTCACCACCACAGGCACTCGTCGCCCTTGCTGATCAGAGGGAGATTTGCTACCATGCGACTTCGATATCAGGACGGTGCTGGATCTTGGTATTTGTTTGCTCTTAGCTGGGCTTCCTGGTGGAATCGCCGGACTCTTTCTCAGCTTGGGAGACTCTACCAGGAGGATGAATCCCCCTGCTGTACGTCGCACCCTAACACTAAGGAACACCTCCCAGCCACATGGAAGGGGTAGACCGTTAGGAGGAATTTTGATAGTAGTGAGCAATAATAACAAAGAGCAATGAAATGAGCCTTTCTTCGATATGCCAGCTGAGAGAAAATTATTGCTGAAACATACGATAGGAAAAAAAAGCATTAGAAACCTGCATTAATTACCGAAAAACCTAATACTAGATGTATTAACCAGCAAAATGGAATCGCTACACACGGCATAATATCTTACTCACACTTTGGAAACACTTCGTTTAAATTGAATGCCTTGCACTACTGCATCAACTAGTCAACACCCATTATCATCGATAGATAGAGCGCCACCCTACAGTAGGATTTACGCAGCTGCTTTTGCATGATTTGAGCTACAAAGTATGTGATAAATCGTTTTCATGTTATGGAAAAGTATAACCTTCTCTAGAAGTTCCGGATTTCCGAGTCGACGTAGCTCCACCTCGGTTGAAATCAGCTCGAGAAGAAGAATGATTAGACGGGAACGCATCTGAAAATTTTCTCATTACGTTGTAAAATTTCTGTCAATAATACTAGCATTACAGATATAATGCTATTGCTACGATATTACTTCTATTTTTTGTCATTACAGTTAATATTACCACTTGTATCTATTAATAATCATTGGGTGTGTTAAATACAGTAGGTTGAGACGTTCTACATTACATGTATACCGCTTGGTTCGGTCCTGCTACAGGTTAGTCAGGCATCTCATCCTACCATGGCCGGCAAACTGGTGCCCAACTTGTCAGGGAAAAGCTTCCTCCAATCCACAAAGGAAGGAAACTGTCTATGGCAAAGACCAGGAAAAGCTTTTAGCGATGATGTCGACCAATGTTCAATTTATGGAAGAGGTAAAGTCGTGAAGTAGGAACCATTCACAAGGCCGAATAGCAACATGCATCATGAACTTCGGATAGCGGATTCAAGACATAGGAGCGAAAGACAGAAATTCTGTGATCGCAGTATGTATGGCCACGTAGAAAGTATTTACTATTGTTTTCACCATTTTTGTAGTGATGTCGGGGAGACTATTATCTATTTCAGTCTCCAACACCTCATATAAATTCACGAGGTTATGCTTAGCATCGTCTTGTATTGTTTAGTTATTTGAAAACATTTCACTTTTATGGAATTTCTTTTTAATGGCAGGGTATGTTGCGAAATATAACTTCTGTAATGGTGAGATGTTTGCAAAAGTCCGGACCGCAGGTGTCTGCGGTGGGAAAGAACGCACTATTGTCCTTCCTGGGGACTAACGCGTTAACTGGGTTCATTGCCGATTTGGGGTCGCCAGATCAATCCCGCTGACTTGTGATTGCTGATGGCACTGATCGATAGAACTAGCTGATAGACAGGCGAAACGAAGAGATCGCGTGGTGTGGTGGTGAACGCTTTACTCCCGCCAAGGACGATAGCGCGTTCGTTCCCCATATTGCTAAATACAACTTCAATGATGCTGCGATGTTTGCAAAACTCCAGGCCGCTGGTGTCCGCGGTGCAGAGCTTTGCAAACATCTCAGCATCATTGAAGTTATATTTTGCAATATGCCCTACCATTAAAAAGAGTAGGCAGCAAATAATAAGTTTAAAGCATTGTTGGTGTTCCTTATGGAAATAGTGATAACAATAACAAATGGTTTTTGGCAATATAAAGAGTTAGTAAGGTAAAAATAGTGTAAGGACGATGTAACGTCTTTGGCCGTGGGGAGCGCAACCGATAGAAATGCTGTGCCTTGAGAATATACGCGTTCTCTCTCACTCCAGAGAAACGAAAGTTCACATCTTTGTGGCGTTGATAGTGTGGTGCTAGACTTGCTATGGAAGAGCTTCTAACGATCTAGAAAAGTTGCTGGTTGTCCATGGTGAAGACTTACGGATGCTCTAGCACAGCTATGGCGGGATTATTGAGGGAATCGAGTTAACGAATATTCGAAAATATTGACAAGGAACACTAAAATTCTCATGCAGGAGCCGATACTATGAGAACCCTAAGATCTTCGTGGATGTTAGAAGCTAGGAAACGAGTAGGATGAAAGAAGTGCCATACACAATATGTGATGTCGAGTCATGTGAAAAAAAGAGGATTTTAGTAAATGATCAATATTGATAACAAGAAAACGACACTGAATTTTTCTGAGAGACAGGCGAAACGAAGGACCCGTGTGGTGTGGTGGTGAACGCGCTACTCCCCGGAAAGGACAATAGCGCGTTCGTTCCCCACCGCATACACCTGCGGTCCAGAGTTTTGCAAATATCTCAGCATCACTGATGTTGTATTTCACAATGTATACCCTGCCGTTAAAAAGAGTGGCAGTAAATAATAAGAAAACTGGATTTTTCGTTATCTCGTAAACTCTTGGTTGATTAACACTGCACGCTGTTGATGAGGTTCGGACCTAATTTTCTTTGAAAACCACGATGATGCTCTTAAAGATGGTAAATCAGTGTGCATATTAAAACTCATGGACTGGACTTATCAGTTGCAGTATCCGCTGGTGGTACGTCCGAATATTTTATACAAATAGAGGTCAGGTTCCAGATATTACTCAAATTTATTTCAGATTTTCGTCCAGATTTAGATTTCAGATATGGAATTTGTATGGATACAAAAAATAGATTGAGTTCACCTTCGATCTGAATTTACGTTGAGAGACGAGAAAATCCCGTGTAAGTTGCTCGGCGTTCTCGGTTAAGTGATCCAGTTTGGCAGTAAGATAGTCAGACTCATGTGATACGGCAGTAGTGATGAGAAAAAACAACACAATGAGGGAAATAATGACCATAATTCGATGTTTGTCTGAAAGAAGAGTAAAGATGATTTAAACACTACACAATCTAACGACCGTGTTGGTAGATTGTCTCTGCAAACATAAAGAATACATCTTGAGCACCAGTAAAGATCAACACATGGCAAAAGAAATAAATAAGTGAGCTCGTCTCGAGAAACCCAGCATATGAGGCAAAGTTTCCTAGACGTAATATTTTTAAGAATGGAATGTTAAAAAGTGATTTTGCTAAAAGTGCTTATAGCGCCTGTAAAACCCAGCTGAGAGAAAGGCGAAACGAAGGACCCACATGGTGTGGTGGTGAACGCGTTAGCCCCAGAAAGAGTAATAACGAGGTCCGATGCCCACAGCAGATTTCTGGGATCTGGAGTTTTCCAAATATCTCAGCATCATTGTAGTTCTATTTCACATCATACTCTGCCAAGAAGAAAGTATAGGCAGTAAATAAACAGTGGTTACATTGTTAAAAACAGAATTGGAAATTTTATCTCCTCAAATGTAGTACGAATCTCCTCGAAAGCCTACGATAGCGAATTTACAAATTTATGTTGGCAAATATGATTAATGGTAGGCAGATAGTGCAGTCGTGATGATGCCGCACATTATGAGCTAGGCGTTGGTTCAACCCCAATTTGGGCCCACCAAGCTCTCCGACCTTTCAGGATCGGGAACAAATACCAAACTTGGCCGGGTTCAGCTCAGCTCTTTCAAAGCTTTTTTTACATGACCCGTCATAGCAACTACTCTGCGGATCTCAGAATTTCTTGCATTCGATTCGTTTTCGTGCCATTCGTCGTCCACAATAGCTTTTAGTGCCAATCGTCCACGAAGTATTTGCGTGATGTTTCGGCTGCGGCTTGAGGATCTCGTCTTCATTATGAATAACGTAGAATGATGGCCCAATCATTTCTTTTTGCAGTCTTGGAGATAGCCAGTTTACGTTCCTACGTGAATTGGAGGAGAGCGTTGGGGAAGGATCTGGGCACGTGGAGATGTGCTCTCATGGAGGTCCTAGGATCCACGTAGTATTTTCGTTATCGGGTCATAAAAAATCTGATTAATAAAAGCAGACATGCAGTGTAAACAAGAGAAATGTCTCTTTGAAAGTCGTGGTGACGACCTGTGGAATGCTTCAAATAGGCAGACCTCGGGAGTCAAGAGAACCATATTGGCTAAACCAGCAGATCTCCAGATTCAGTATACCGCACACTGGGCGCTCTCGTCTACATCGGACGGTGAGACAACCGATGAGAGGCGATCAACTGCCGGGTTGCCCAAGACCTTATTGGAAACGCACAAAACAAGCATGTTCACTACACGCTATGGAGCCTGTCTCCTACTTACACCTATTATACCAAAACGGTCTCTTCAGAAACCGATTTTCATGCTTTTCTTGAGACCGCTGATCACACCAATTTCCATGCACTCGCCCTACAAGAGACGAAAACCAGGAAGACAGACATAGGCCAATTAGATGACGAAATCCTTGTCATAGGTGTAGGGTAATTTCCGTTACCAAATGTCGAAAGCGTTGGCTTTGTCGTTTGTGGTACACCCATCTATTTCCTCTTCAGTCACCTCATACGAAATCCTATCACCGCATCTGTCTATTCTTCGTCTCCAACTTGGGCGTCAGAAGAAAGTTAGTATCATCAACTGTTACTCACCAACTTGCACAGCTGACGAAAGCGAACTGAACGCGTTCTACGGCAAGTTGGAGGAAGTAACCCGCAGCGAAATGTCCTTCAAATAGGGTTTTTGCAATTTCAATGCCAGATTATGAAAGGCCAACGAAAATGAAAGAGGATAAGGAAATTCGGCATTGAAGGACGAAATCAGAAGGAAACAACCCTGTAAAACTCCTGTTCGTGGTATGTCTCTTTAATAGGAATTCATTCTTCGAAAAGACATGAAATCACCGACATAGGAGCCTCCATATTCTAAGAAACAGAAGATAGCAACACTTTGACACTTCAGTGGTACTGAATTCTGTGCGGGATTCGATCAACACCTGCTTGGTACAAAGATTCGATACAGCCACAAGGTGGAAAATAACTCCTCACATCGTCTAAGAAAAACGAAACAAGTCGTGCATGACGAAGATGTTCTTTATAAAATCCTCTCCTCATATAACTGCTAGAAAAAGGAAGACGTGGCAGAACACTATGAGATGCTTGTCGAAGGACTTAAAACTTGTGCCGTACTCGCCTCAGTTCCCCAAACAAAAATTTCAGACCGCCTCTCCACTACCGCTAAGTCGCTCAAAAAAGGGCATTGAAGCTTTATCTTATTGTAAGACATTTAACAAAACTGATAATAAATGCAAGCTCTGGAAGATCTTTGGAGAAGGAATTAACTTGGTGTAGGCAGAAAAAGTTATTGGAAGCAGCTCAAAAACGATCCAGTCGAAAGAAGTGCCATCGGGACATTTGTTGGAACAATGCTCCGCTTTCCGCTCTGATGAACGAAGATGAGACTATCACTACAACCTGCTATGGCATTCGGTTGATTACGGAAAACTCTATATCAATCTTTTAACGTTTTGTTTTCTGCCTTCTATATTTTTCATGGCAGGTTACTAAGCGAAATACAACCACAATGTTGCTGAGATATTTGCAAAACTCTGGACCGCAGGAAATAGCTGAGAGACGTGCGAAACAAAGGACCCGCATGGTGTGGTGGTGAACGCGTTACTCCCCGGAAAGGATAATAGCGCGTTCGTTCCCCACCATAGACACCTGCGGTCCAGAGTTTTGCAAATATCTCAGCAACATTGTGGTTGTATTTCGCTTAGTAACCTGCCATGAAAATTATAGAAGGCAGAAAACAAAACGTTAAAACATTGTGATTTCAACTACAGCCATAGCTTAACTGGGTTCTATGCCGATTTGCGCTCCCCAGATCAACCCCGCTGACGGGTGATTGCTGTGGCAAAAAAGATCGATAGAAATAGCTGAGAGACGTGCGAAACAAAGGACCCGCATGGTGTGGTGGTGAACGCGTTACTCCCCGGCAAGGATAATAGCGCGTTCGTTCCCCACCATAGACACCTGCGGTCCAGAGTTTTGCAAATATCTCAGCAACATTGTGGTT